TGTGTGTGTGTGTGTGTGTGTGTGTGTTTGTCATCAGTGCAGTGGATGATGGGAACTGTAGTCCGGAAGAAGTGCAACAGTGGTGTGGCGCAAGAGTCCATAGTAGTAGAAGAGTGATCTCTGGTGGCGAGCAGACGGAAGTTCATGGACCGGATTCGTGACAGCTATATTTTAATATTGTACTAAGTAGTTTACACCCCTGGTAACATGATCAACATACTGTATTAACGATTTCCATTCAATTTTTTTATTAAAACTGCATGGTTGATAATAAATCATTCTTGAATTTGAGAGATTATATGTGAAAAGGTGACCATTTACTTTCAAAGAGACTGATGGACATGACTTGTTGCAGAGGACATTCAACATTTCACAATCTCATATGATCCCTGCATCTATTCATATTTTAACTGGGGTATCTTCATATCTACTATCTGAATTATGGCAAATGTACAATAGTAAGCTACACTAAACTATCTGCATCTTAAAACTATCGTGAAGAGCCAGAGGTGTCTCTCTCTCTCTCTCTCTCTCTCTCTCTCTCTCTCTCTCTCACGCACTCACACTGACTCGCGTGAGTGCGCATGAAATTACAGTCGCTATCTGAGGCAACAGTAGCAGCGCTTCAGTCTGGGAGAATCTGGCTTGAGTCTAGCACGCACATCCACTGGAAAGAGCAGCAGTCACGGGCTTTACGCGGAGAGCCAGCACTTCTGAAGGCTACAGGTATGGGCACTTTACACACCAGCCGTACAAACGCCGTGCACAATGCGCGCTTGAGCTTGAACCCAAACTACCTGAGGCACACTGAAAGGATTAATCAGCATTTAGTGCAGGATGTGTCAGATATTTTCATGCTTTTGAGAAAGATGCATTGCATTGTGCGACTGATTAAGTAAGTTCGAATAGGTTTCTCACATATAAATTAGCCTGCAAGTTTCTGGCACTAAGGCAAGATTTTGGAAATTCAGGATTACTCAGCTTTTTGATGCCCGTAACTCTTGTCACCGCTATGCTTTGACAAATTATGTGCTCTAATTAAAATAACAGTCAAGTGTAGGATAGCCTACTATTCCTATTTCGGTTACCATTACCATTATTATGCATTCAGATTTAAATTCTTATTATAGTATTACCATCATTTTGATATTAAAGGAATAGTTCTGCCATTTACTCACCCTCATGCCTTTCTAAACTCATTCTTCCTCCCGTGCTACGTAAATTATTTCTGAAATGTAACCTGGCACTGAGTAGGCTACAAGTTACAGGAGTATCCCTGAAATTAGTAACATAATATTTTTACCTGCCACTTTTTAGGTAGGCTAATCTGATCTAATTATTTGTTGGAAAAAGTGATATAACAATAACGAATAGTTCCGGTCTGCATATTATTGGATTGGTCAATACCTGTGCAGGATATCACTGCGCAGCACCGATAGTGGATCGTTATATTTTTGTTGCAACCTTCTGTTACGCGAGGGACTATATTCTGGCGGAGGAATTTGATTAATAGCAAAGGTAATAGAAATAAAAATGATAAAATACATTTTAACGGTGTTATTAATATTTTTTAATATAAAATACACTCTGGCCTTGCTATAGCCTAATTTGTGCACAACAACAATCTTTCAGAAAACTAGTTAAGATAGTAAATTAGCAGTAGGCTATTTATGTAACCCAGATTACATTGCTCTTAAAACACAAAAAGAATATAAGTCTCACCGTCCACTTTCATTGTATGGAAAAAGGTGCAATGAAAGTGAATGGTGACTGAGGGTCTCCTTTGGTGTTCCACAGAAGAAATAATAACTTGAGGGTCAGTACATTTTGTCAGAAGTTACATTTGTAGGTGAAAAAGTAAACTTGAAGCCTTGTAAAACTAATTTTATAGCTACATTGTGTAATTCTAATGGGCAGATAAGCAGATTTATAATGTCTTTTTAACGTTTGATCAGTTGTATTGGCAGTTTTCTAGCAATGGCTTTTCAGCGCTTTATTCATTGATCTATTTTTGCAATTTTGCATGTGATGGTGTTTTTTTTCTTCCAAAAAATGACTTGTTTTGCAATCAAGCTCTGGCTTTTGCTGTTGTATTGTTCCCAACAGTCAATTATTATAAAGATAGCATGTTTTGAAGTGTGTTTTGTGATGGTAACATTTAGTTACGAGAGTTTTGCTAGTGCTCCATGCTGACTGTAGCTCCAGTATGGGTCATTTGCCTAGATTTGAGTAAGATTTTCCATCTCTCTCTCTCTCTCTCTCTCTCTCTCTCTCTCTCTCACGCACTCACACTGACTCGCGTGAGTGCGCATGAAATTACAGTCGCTATCTGAGGCAACAGTAGCAGCGCTTCAGTCTGGGAGAATCTGGCTTGAGTCTAGCACGCACATCCACTGGAAAGAGCAGCAGTCACGGGCTTTACGCGGAGAGCCAGCACTTCTGAAGGCTACAGGTATGGGCACTTTACACACCAGCCGTACAAACGCCGTGCACAATGCGCGCTTGAGCTTGAACCCAAACTACCTGAGGCACAGATTCTGATTCTGAAGTGTGTTTTGTGCATGGTTTGTGATGGCAACATTTAGTTAGAGTTTAGCTATTACTCCAAGCTGACTGTAGCTCCAGTCAGTTCAGTATCGGTCATTTGCCTAGATTTGAGTAAGATTTTCCATGTCACCAGGAAGGGGGTGAGGTCTGTCGTTGCACCCAGTCATATTAAATTATTCAGATACCATCTCTATTTTTCACTGAAACACAGAGCCATGCACAGCGAGACACGTTTAAATGGTAGAAAAGTAGAAAATAGCGTTTGTAACTAACCACCATGCTCTCCACCAGGAGTTTACTGAGCATGGGTTTCTTTAAAACAACAGATACTCAAAAGTGCAATGGCCAACAATAACACCTGCACTGTTTTTCAGGGTTGCCCGTCTGAAAATATTTTGATGAGCATATGAAGTCTTTGTGTGGCCGCCTACAAAGCCAGTCTTCCACAGCGCTTTGTCTCACTATAAATGGCACCAAGCACACGCACAGCCCTTTGATCCCTCACTCAAGCCCCTTTTGTCTTTGCCGCTCACTTTCACCAATGAAAAAGCCTGTATGCTAACAAGGGTCTGGGGAGTGAGCTGCGTTTGTGCTGGTCACCATCAACATAATAGCGAGCATGAATAATCAGTCCATTTTCAACCAACATTAAAGGCAGAGAACATAAACAGCTCAGTTTCTTTATCAGTCTGCCATCCAGCATCTGTGTGCTGCTAATTAATCTGAATGGCACTTTTAGTAAAAAAAAAAGTTCATTTATTTATTTATTTTGGGATGATTTTTCATGATAGCACTGTGTAAGATTGTAGCTTGTGGGTCTATTTTATCAGGCGTAGGTGTCATTCTTTGGTCCAAACGATTTATTTCTTCATCGTTTCATATTCACCAAGGAGTTTACTGAGCATGGGTTTCTTTAAAACAACAGATACTCAAAAGTGCAATGGCCAACAATAACACCTGCACTGTTTTTCAGGGTTGCCCGTCTGAAAATATTTTGATGAGCATATGAAGTCTTTGTGTGGCCGCCTACAAAGCCAGTCTTCCACAGCGCTTTGTCTCACTATAAATGGCACCAAGCACACGCACAGCCCTTTGATCCCTCACTCAAGCCCCTTTTGTCTTTGCCGCTCACTTTCACCAATGAAAAAGCCTGTATGCTAACAAGGGTCTGGGGAGTGAGCTGCGTTTGTGCTGGTCACCATCAACATAATAGCGAGCATGAATAATCAGTCCATTTTCAACCAACATTAAAGGCAGAGAACATAAACAGCTCAGTTTCTTTATCAGTCTGCCATCCAGCATCTGTGTGCTGCTAATTAATCTGAATGGCACTTTTAGTAAAAAAAAAAAGTTCATTTATTTATTTATTTTGGGATGATTTTTCATGATAGCACTGTGTAAGATTGTAGCTTGTGGGTCTATTTTATCAGGCGTAGGTGTCATTCTTTGGTCCAAACGATTTATTTCTTCATCGTTTCATATTCACCGTCCTTTAATCCTTTTCTTTTATAGTACTGCTTATTTCTACTTTCTTTCATCTGCTCACCCCCTGTTTTTCCGCTGTATCCCTCGTCCTTTGATTCAGTTGAGCCACCCAGTTCCCAAATGGAATCAAGGGTAAACTACAATGATAATGACAGTATAATATCCTCTCTACCAAGACCTTTGTTTTCACAGATAAAACAAAAATATCTTTAAAGTGGCTGATCTGTAGTGAAGGACTCTCTCATTTCATGTCACCTGTCTGGCTTTAGAGCTTTGCTGTTTCTCATTACATCAAAGCATAAGAAGCATCATTGAGGTCTCTTCACAGCCTTATCTCAGATCAGCTAACACTGGATACTGGTTTTATCCATGCAAATGATCAGGTGATAGAATGGGTGTCATCAGATAAAAAAAAAAAAGCAGGTTTGTTGTGTGAATGTGCAATGTAGTGAACGAGCAGCATTGTATGCATGCATGCATGTCTTTTTGCAGTATTTAATAATAATGCTACAACTAAATATCAAAATCCGATTCTTTATCAAACAAATACCATGTGTGCTAATACACGTTTTCACGGTAAAGTGCCGTGTTAGTCACCAAGCCTTCGTCATTCACACAGGACGGTGTGCATATGTGGCATGCGGAGGGCTGAGGAATCAGCCTTCAGGACCACCAGCTGTTCCACGTCGCATTAAACAGATCATGCGGCAGATAGATTATGCAAGCCAACCGTACTCATGTGAGCTTCATGTAAATGTATCCAGTCTGTCCTGTTTATTATTTAAGCAGTATCACACGAGTGAGAGCGTAATACTGCTCAATAAAGTTAATACTCAGTATCTTACGTGACAACAATGTACTAAAAGCATTTTTCAGTTGAGTTTTTAAAAAGTTTAGTGTACAGTCAACACTGTTGTCAAAACGATCCCCGTTCATACGGATCTGCGAAAACTACTTAAAGTGCTGTATTATGCATACCAGGCAGTTGGTGAAAAAATACTACGCACCTGTTCACAAACCAATAGACCGAACACGAATATGCTTGTGCATGACATCATAGTTTTCACAAATTAGAATTTTTGTAGTTTAAACAGATGATAACAGGATAGTTTTCAATCACTGGAACTTTAAATCCCATTTTCAAAAGTTTGCATATTTAGGCCCCTAAAATGCTGTTGCCGTGTAAACATCCCCTTAGACGCAATATTGAGTTACTTTAGCCATTTTTGCTTCGCCAGTTCATTTTTTTTTCTTTGAACAAGACACAGTGATGTTTTGCTCCTGAATAAAAGTGTTTATGAACAAATTGTTTGAGTGAATAATTCACTGACTCATTCATAAAGACAGCTTGTTGTTTCATTCCTGAATGAATCAGTGTTTCTGAAGAAATCATTTGAGTGAATGATAAATGGCTTACTCATAAATAAAGTTACTTTTCGCCATCTACTGGCATATTGATGTAACCTGTAAAAAGAGTCAATGAAAAATCCCCACTACAGTCTGTCCATAAAGTGTAATTGTTAAAAAAAACTAAACTAAACTAAAACTATTAAATAAAGCTTAAATAAATAGTTTAAAGTAACTTATATGAAGGTAAAATAATGCCTAAAAGATTTGCATACGCAGGGTAAGAGTTGTGGAAGTGTACATAAGACTGTAAACGTAAATTAAATTTGCATGCGCAAGAGAAGCTTTGTAAAGGTGTAAATCGCGGTTCAAGCCTAAGAAAAAAATATTTGCAGCATTTTACTGTTACTCATAAGTGTAATTCATGTATTGTGAAATTGCAGCTTCATGCGAAGGCAAAATAAATATGATCTGCATTCTTCTAACTTTCATTTTTTTCTGCGTTTACACTTTTGGCACGTTGTTTTTCGCTAAAATACAGTCAAAAGTACTGCAAGCCTGTGAACAGTGATTTGCAAGCGAAAACAACAGTTGACTGGATTGACTGCATAGAACCAATCTGTATGTTTAAAAAAACAAACTGTTTTAAATATCTAAATGACTTGTTGTGCATGTGGGGCAAAAAGTTCCCAAAATAAACCGATATGTACAGCTCCGTCTTTCTTTTCTCTGCTCTTACAATTTTGGCACGATTCTCTCACTTACTGAGTTTTGCAAGCGTGAGGGGGAGGGTGGGTCCACCACCTTCTTGTAGCCAATCAAATGATGCTCTCGCTGACTCTCTATTTACTCTTATCCGATTGGTTCAATAAACACATCACATGCCAAAACATAAATCTTAATTTAGTACTTTTAACATACACATACATTAAAAATAAATAAATAACAACTTAATTAAAACATGATACTTTATAAGTTGTGTACCATTAGGCTATGTGTTCATACTGAACTTACTTACATTGTAGTCTACTCTCCCAGGATCAGGAAACAGTCCTCCATAAAATGCGCTGCACACATCTGAATATTTGGGTTAAACTGTTCTGGAACAGTGTTGTAAATACAACTTAACCACTGATTTCTAGTCGTGTCCTCTTTTGGAAGACCAAACAAAGTATTTTCGCTTTCACAACGAAACACACAGCGTCACACCCGGCAGGGTTGAGTGAGCGGAGGCCGGCGGGCTAGAGTGAGGAATGGCCGGCGGATTCGACGAAGGAGCGGCCAGCGTGCTTGCGGCAACCACATGTGACGACCAAGCGGCAACCTTCCCCTCTCTCTCGTGAAGCCAACACGGAAGTGACTGCAAAAGGGAGTCAATCCCATAGACTCCCCATGTTAAAATGCCCAACTTCACAGCAGAAAAAAACATGTTTACAGCCTGGTAAAAAAAAATATTTTTGTCTATATAGCTAATTTTGCCCTTCATGACAACTGTGAGGGGGGTGAATTTTTTTATAACTCTTCTGTTTAAATTATATTTATAAATTAGGCTCCGCCTACTTTAGGCTTCAAAAACGCTCTTCGGAAACCTACGGGTGATGTCACGGACACTACGCCCATGTTTTTATACAGTCTATTGTGATGACCCCAGGCTGGACTCCGCTTCGTCCACGGTGAAAGCCGATCCGGCGCTCCACAGCGTGAAGTTGATGTATTTCCTCAGCGACCAGCACGGATCAGCTCCAGGCATGACGAAGTGGATATCGTCCTCTTTTGGAAGACCAAACAAAGTAGTTTCGCTTTCACAACGAAACACACCACATCTTCACGACATGGCAGCGGCAGCAACAATACTACAGCAAGAATAAAAGTTACACCTTTCTTTGTGTGAACATTTAGGCGGCGTTATGCAAATCTTCCCACATAGTGACGTAGACATGTGGGGGCGTGTTAGAACGAGCCATTTTAGGTAGGCGTGGTTGACTCTTAACTTTTATAAAGAATATCTCTTTGGATTTGAGACTTTGGTCTTTGCAACTTTACAGCTCTTCTTTATGCACCAAAAGCCTTGTAACACTCCAAAGAGAAAGGAAAAATTGAAATCGCATCATATGACCCCTTTAAATAAACAAAAACGAATAAAAATGGCATAAGGACACAACAAAATCACCAAAATTTAAACTAAATTTTGAATTAAAGCATAAAAATATGGAAATAAAAGAATTCATAAAATTAATAAATACTATAGTAGTATATAATAGTAAATATAGTGTTATAGTAAATAACACTGTCTGGAATGCTGCTCTACCAACCAGATTTATGGATATGAACTTGTATAATTTGTTATACTGTAATATCTCAATATAGTAATATCTGTAATATCTCAATCAATATCTTCAAAATGTACTTTATGTGCTTACTGATTTGACTGAAGTCAGAGATATTATTTAATATGTCTGAACCAACTTGACTACTTTAGGTTACACCAAACAAAAGTTTATTTAAGATTGATATTATGTATAAGATATTATGTTGTTACAGTGTAAGATTTGAAAAGTGACATTTGTTCGGTTTACCTTAAGAATTAAATATTTATTGGTTCTTTAAACTTAAGGAATGTTGTTTATCTGAGTTTTTAATATGGGAACAAATTTGAATAATTTCATATACTTCACAAAACTGGATGCTCAGCACCATTTAGTTTTCATCTCCTAGATGAATTTTGCATTTAGAAGGAATTGGAGAACAGCCTTGATATTTTTGCGACCCACTGAATGTATCCTCGCTCTTGATTTTAGCAGATGAGTGTGAAAGTAATTTCCTTCGAAAATGGAGGAAGAGCTGATTTGAATAACAAACAATGTATAGACTTGCTCTGCATAAAATCATGGTAGGTGCGCATGGATTGGCTGGATGGTTTTGGCAGGATCTTTTCATAGATGAGAAAATAACCCAGCTGTGGTTATTGCAGGTGGCTCATCTGAATCAGACTCTCCCACATTCATAGGCAACTGAGTGGACCGAGCGACGCTGTGACTATCAGAGTGTAAATGCACTGCCTCCTGACTTGTTGTAGGTTTAAGTGTGTCACTGAGCAGCATGACGGAGGTGATGAACAGCTGTGACTCTGCGGTGGGAGACTACAGTGTGAGCGGCACGTCTGAGGAGCAGAACATCTCTTTACAGGTGGGTTGTGCTTCTCTCGGTCAGCTGGCTGGATGCTCTCTTGAAATTCATATCAGTGATTTATTCAAGAGGAACAAGGCTAATGAAACACAAAAACAAGTAAAAGATCATATATACAGTCGCTGGTCATTTTGACAAAAAATAAAGGGATTTAATACAGATAGTGATCATCTGAATACATGAAATTGCTATTTGCCAAAAATAAATAAATAGAAAGACAAAGGGAATGCATGGACATGAAATATTGTTTGAGTTATTTGTAAATGCATTTTTATTATTTTACATGTATGTTATCTAATTTAATAGTTTATTTAAAATATAGAAACAACAGCAGAACAAACAATCTACAATGTAAATTTTAAATTAATTGTAGCCATTTAATCTGTGGACTTTTTTTGGTGGACTTGTTTGCTAACATATTTAAAGCTACAAAGTAACATGCCTACCTCTATTTTAACATCTCACTTATCCAGCTCTATACATTTCTGATTCACTGTTCTTGGCATTGCTTGGCAAATGTTTTCATTTTCTAGGGGATGCTAGTCTTCTACCAGGTTTATGCTTGCCATAAACTTTCATACTGAAGTGTAATTTTGCAAGATGGCGCCAGTGAGAAATTCTAACCAATTCTAATTTTAAGTAACATGAGAGATCTGAAAATAGCACCAATACAGCAGCAGACAATGGTAATATATACAATTAAGGCCTGTTCATACCAAGAATGATAACTATAATATTAACTGTATGTGAGTGGAAGACCAGAAACGGAAGCCCATGCAAAAGTTCCAAAGTGCAAGTTCATGTGATCACGTGAAGATGTGAGACCAACAGAGGAATGATACGTCATGGTGTGAGCTCTTAACTGAATTAGAAGAACAGGCTACATCTGAAATCACATACTATCTGAGTATTTTTTTTTTAAATAAGTAATTACTTTGCAACCACTAAAAAGTATGTTCTATGTAGTATGAATGTGTGTAGTATGAATGTAATACAGATAGTGTTGGGTAAAGTTACTTTTAAAAGTAATGTATTACAATATTGCGTTACTACATAAAAATTAACTAATTGCGTTACTTAGTTACTTTTTATGGAAAGTAACGCATTACATTACTTTTATGTTACTTTTGTCACCTGGGCTGGGCTTGCTTATTTATTTTTAATAACAAAAACCCAAAAGTTATATTTCTGGCAACTATAAAGGCCTTTTCACACCAAAAGTGACATTAATAAGCCTTAGCCTGAAGGAAGTGCCTCTGCACCTCACTCCTGATATCTCTCAACACAGAGACAGAAGAGCTGTCAGTGAATAAATGGGAATACAAAGTAACTTGCAATACTTATTTGAAAAAATAACTCAGATATTTTCTTGTAAATTTAAAAGCAATGCATTACTTAACTAGTTAAATGAAAAAAGTAATCCGATTACCTAAGTGGCATTACTTGTAATGCATTACCCCTAACAAAAAAGGTTTTATGCACCTCACTCCTGATATCTCTCAACACAGAGACAGAAGAGCTGTCAGTGAATAAATGGGAATACAAAGTAACTTGCAATACTTATTTGAAAAAATAACTCAGATATTTTCTTGTAAATTTAAAAGCAATGCATTACTTAACTAGTTAAATGAAAAAAGTAATCCGATTACCTAAGTGGCGTTACTTGTAATGCATTACCCCTAACACTGAATATGCGCTACATTCGTCACATTGTTATTGTCATGCGACATACCAGTGTCAGTTGCATCACTTCACTGCCATTCACAAATCCTCTCCCTTGGCCTCATGGGATAGTAAAGCGTCATCTTTTTTTAGTAAAACATCTAACAATAACTTTAATAGAACATTAGTTCAGAGTTTAAAAATGTTCTCAAATGTAGCACAGAAACTGTATTTATATATTACTCATGGCACATTTTCTGAAACATTTTATTGGTTGGATGTTCATCTAACATTTTCTAAAATGTTACTACTTGTTTTAAAACGTTCAGAGAATATTCAAAACTAACATTCCCACGACATTTGCAAAACGATAAAGAATGCTCCCTTAACATTCACGTAACAAAAAAGGTTTTAAAACGTTTAAAAACTGATGTTTTGAACATTTAGAAATAATATTTTCAAATTAATGGGAACTTCAGCAAAACATTATTAGAACATATTTTTTTTATTTGCTCTGACTTTTCATGTACTGTTTTTCACCTGGTGTTGATGTCCCACTCAGGAGCCACTCCAGCATTTTATGTAGAAAATTAATCAAAAAGCAGTGCAATGGAATGTGAACGACCCAACAGTATCATTCCTTTGTGTCCATTATAGTTGTAGTATGGAGGCTATTTTATCATCCTTCATGTGGACTGTCCATTAAGAGGCATTTTGCAAAAAAATTTGAGCACTATTTGCACATATTTGCAGGACTGACCAATCAAAATCGACTATTCCAGAGAGCAGGGTAGGAATAGGTTAAATTTTAAGTGACAGTCACACACATACGTGCTGAGTGTTTTTCTGGTTACCTGATGGATGACTGCGATGGGTGTCCGTGGATCTATTTGGAGCATTTCCTCCGTCATTTCAGCCTGATTGGAGTCCGTTTCATTTTGCTCACATCGCTACGAAAAGCCAATCAGATTTCTGCTCGTTCATACAGCCTGCTGGAATTCAAATTCAGATTCCTCTCAGACACTCAAGAGAGACTCGAAAGGTCACAATCTTTTCAGGGAACGATCATCATTACCCTTTCTTTACCACAGGATGAGCAGTGCCATTATATGCTAGCTGAATGAACCCTGTCTGAATGTGTCATTCACTCTGTCATGTAGGCTCTTTCTGTACTTTGTAAACCAACATGCAATGCACACCCTTTTCTACTGTTGGTGGCTTTTAAAAAATTCATGTCTCGCTTGATAGCCCACATGTTGCAAAGACACGGACACACTCAAGACGTTCCTGTTCACACTTCAGTGCAATTGTGGAGAAATAATCATACACAACGTGAGTCACATCCTGCTCTCATGAACGCTAAACAAGGTAATATAGGACTCACACAAGACATGAGGTGAATGCCAAACACATCATTAATAAAAACCCATCAAGGAGTTTTTGATGGAACTGCTGGAGTGGAGCTTTTGTAAACATATATTTACTCATAAGTGGTTGCCCACAAAAAATAATAATAATAATTCTTCTCTCTGATTGCTTATAATGGAAATGCACTAAAATTTTCAAGTAGACTTTAGTGCTGAATGCTTCCAAGGTTAAAACAGATTGACCTGACAACAGCATGCCTTAAATTCTTTTTAATTGGCATTTTTGTTTTGTTTTCCAGTAAATAATTCTAAGCATAGATAAAACATATCGTGAATGTATCATGGAATGCTTAATTTTTCTTTTTTTTTTTGTGTTAAGCACAAATCAAACAACACTCTGGTAAAATGCTTAAATTAAAACTACGGCTTCCAATTTGATGGTTTAATGAGGTTCTTAGATCTTTAATGGAGGAAGTAAAGGTCAAATCATGCTGTTTCTTGAAAGCTGTCAGGGCATTTTGAGAACTTTCAGATTTTAAGATACATTTTAGCTCACTGAACTGTCATGTACTGTGGCCTCTCGTGACCCCTGTGTTACAGATCTTCCCAGACTCCCATGAACGGTTCCCAAAGCTTTCCAAACGCTTGCCATCCATCGTGGTTGAACCCACTGAGAGCGGGGAGGTTGAGAGCGGGGAACTGCGCTGGCCTCCTGATGATCTGAGCCCTACAGACGACCCCAGAGACAAACAGGCCCAGGCTGCAAGTAAGTTCATGTTAACCATTATAAGAATGTCCCATTTAGGTTTTCTGTTATTCTCTTTAATCTCATAATTAATCATTTTTTTTTACTATGGCTACTACATGTGTTTGTTTCCCCGGGCGCCGCAGCAAAAATGGCTGCCCACTGCTCCGGGTGTGTGTTCACGGTGTGTGTGCACTTTGGATGGGTTAAATGCAGAGCACTAATTCCGAGTATGGGTCACCATACTTGGCCACATGTAAAAAAAAAATAATTTTTCTTTATTCTTGAGTTTTGAGTCTTTATTCTCAAAACACTGGCTTACTGTCTTGAAACTTCATGACTTTATTTTTGCAATGCTGATCTTTTAGATTTAAATTAGATTTATTTCATTTTAAATGACACATACAACTTTGTCATACTAAATGCAATACTTAAAACGTTTAAATTAATTGATGCACACCACTGAAAAAAATGGTAACCTAAAAATGTTAACATCTAAATTAACTGGGTTTATTCAAGTCAAAAATATTATTTAACATCACTCAGTCTACCTAAATACCTAAAAACAAAACTATTTTTGAGGGGGATAAATCAGGTAGAAATACCTCTTTATGGTAACAGATGCAAGTAATTTTTTAAAGTGTACAGCAAAATTATTTTACATGATTTTTAAAAGAAGTCTCTTATGCTCAAGTCTGCATTTCTTTGATCAAAAATACAATAAAAATGTGAAATATTATTACAATATAAAATAACTCTTTTCTGTTATATTATATCTTAAAATATAATTTATTCTTGTGTTGGCAAAGCTGAATTTTCAACATCATTACTCCAGTCTTGAGCGTCACATGATCCTTCAGAAATCAATCTAATATGCTGATTTGATGCTCAAGAAACACTTCTTGTAAAGGTTTTTTTTTTTTTTTTGGAAACCGTAATAAATTTTTCAGGATTCTTAGATAGATAGAAAACTCTAAAGAACAGCATTTATTTGAAACTGAATTTTTACTGTCTTTACTGTCATTTTGATCAATGTAATGTATCCGTGCTGACTAAATGTATTCATTTCTTTAAAAGAAAAAAAAAAATCTTTTAAAAAATCTTATTGACCCGAAACTTTTGAATGGTAGCGTCCATAAAAGATGTTGTACATTTTATTATTTCATTTCAAATGCAGTTAAAAAAATTCTGAATTGCTTTTTTGAATTGATTTTGATTGCTTGTAGAGTGGTTCTTTTACCTCTTAGTTGATTTCAGTCTTGTAGCATCAGATGCAATACATTTAAGGAAATCAAATTTATGGGACGTTTGATTATTTTGTGTTTGTATTTCAGTTGACAAGCTCACAGAAGACAGCCGAGAGGTCGCAACAGTGACGGAAAACTAATGGGCAATGATTGACCAATCCAGCCAATCACTGTGAATGTCTTCATTATGGACAGGAGTGAACGGGAGACTCCACCAATTAGGTTTGCCTATCATCCACACTAGAGCCGCCCACCTGCTGACCTCCACTCCCCTAGGTGGAGCCGAGGCCTGAGAGACTGTCTTAACTGAACTAGCTCACGTGCCAAACTCTAGTGGTAGTCAGCTGCTGTGATTGAGTTGTAAATTATCTCCAATAACACCATGATACCCATTAGAAGTCACCTATGCCTGCTAAATTATAAATTGGCATTCATTTATGTATTTATTTGCTTTGGACCAAAGTCTTTCATTCCTTCTATCAAAAGAAAATAGCTTCAGGATGTTAATTTGATGTATTATATCAGCACACATTAAGTGAAAATGGATTTAAGATAACATGTAAATCAGTGTTTCTCAACCCTGGTCCTGGGCGCCCCCCCAGCACTGCACATTTTGTGTGTCTCCGTAATCAAACACACCTGATTCAACTCATTAGCTCATTAAAAGAAACTCCAGGACCTGAAATGGGTGTCAGATAAGGGAGACATACAAAATGTGCAGTGCTGGGGGGCGCCCAGGACCAGGGTTGAGAAACACTGATGTAAATGAACTACAGTGCATAATGGCTCTTCGCCAGTGTAGATTTCAAACTCTATGCTATGTACAGTAGATCTCAGTTTGTTTTCATGCTCACACACTACTAATAGGGGCTTCTTTTTAACACGCTTTCCAGATTTGCACATATTCTTTACATTAATTCTTCACATTAATTCTCTGTTATTCACATTGCTGCTGCTTATTTACTAGTGTTCGTCAGAGCTGCTGTAAATGTAGCTTTCTTTGCCTTAGACATTTATTTGTAGTTACACTGTATGTACGTCATAAGTTTAATGAAATTACTGTTTGTATATATGTTCAGACAGTCGTTATTTTACCCATCACATGTATCTGTCACCTTCCCAAGGCAAAACCCTTTGGTGCTTCAGAGTCTGTTGAATATCACTGTATTCTGTTAAAAATCTACTGCTCTTTTGATGTTTGAATATTAGTCTTAAAATATTAATAATCTGTCTGGGAATGGGAACGAATGCAGCACAGTATCACTTAGCATTAAAGGCAGTTACTTCTACATCCGTGCTCTGTTGATTCATCAAGTGAATGTATGTAGGATCCAGCCTCGACACATCACTGATTTCTTGTGGGTAGATGTCAAGTACTAGCCAAAGGCACTTCTAGTTGAATACTGTGTTGACACGAGCAGTAGTTATTCTAGCCCAACAGCATCAGCAGCTCTGAGCAGTTGATGTTTTCCAGCCATGGGCATTTTAGCTGGGTTCAGCCCCCTTGTCTTTCATCTCAACCCTCCTAAAACTTTTCAGATTAACTGTCAGATCTCTTTCAAATATTTTATAATCTTCAGCATGTTTGCTGAACAGCGACTGCAGTAAGCAATCTGTTAAGTAAGGCCTTAAAAACTTTTTTTAACTTCCAAACAACAAAGTCAAATTCATATTCAGTGTTTGTCTATATAAACGTTCCTTTTTATTGTTAAAAATGACATTTATTGGGGGTATTTGAATTAGTTTGAGTTCAATTCAATTCAAGTTTATTTGTATAGAGCTTTTCATGATAAATCGTTGCAAAGCAACTTTACAGCAAATTAAGTTTCTACAATATTTAGTGGTAGCTTATCAGTGGTGACTGTCTGTTAATGTACATATGGCACAAATGTACGGAAAAATCAATTAAAGACTTAATCAAACAGATGATGAACACTATTAACAGCAATTATTATATGATGCAATCAAACTTATAGCGAAATTTGGTAGTTCTGAATGTTGTTTCAGAGTTGGCATCATTCATTTCAATAAAATGAGTTTCAATTCATTTTAATTGTAGATCTTTTTTCTGTGGAATACATTATTTTACCCATCACATGTATCTGTCACCTTCCCAAGGCAAAACCCTTTGGTGCTTCAGAGTCTGTTGAATATCACTGTATTCTGTTAAAAATCTACTGCTCTTTTGATGTTTGAATATTAGTCTTAAAATATTAATAATCTGTCTGGGAATGGGAACGAATGCAGCACAGTATCACTTAGCATTAAAGGCAGTTACTTCTACATCCGTGCTCTGTTGATTCATCAAGTGAATGTATGTAGGATCCAGCCTCGACACATCACTGATTTCTTGTGGGTAGATGTCAAGTACTAGCCAAAGGCACTTCTAGTTGAATACTGTGTTGACACGAGCAGTAGTTATTCTAGCCCAACAGCATCAGCAGCTCTGAGCAGTTGATGTTTTCCAGCCATGGGCATTTTAGCTGGGTTCAGCCCCCTTGTCTTTCATCTCAACCCTCCTAAAACTTTTCAGATTAACTGTCAGATCTCTTTCAAATATTTTATAATCTTCAGCATGTTTGCTGAACAGCGACTGCAGTAAGCAATCTGTTAAGTAAGGCCTTAAAAACTTTTTTTAACTTCCAAACAACAGTCAAATTCATATTCAGTGTTTGTCTATATAAACTTTCCTTTTTATTGTTAAAAATGACATTTATTGGGGGTATTTGAATTAGTTTGAGTTCAATTCAATTCAAGTTTATTTGTATAGAGCTTTTCATGATAAATCGTTGCAAAGCAACTTTACAGCAAATTAAGTTTCTACAATATTTAGTGGTAGCTTATCAGTGGTGACTGTCTGTTAATGTACATATGGCACAAATGTACGGAAAAATCAATTAAAGACTTAATCAAACAGATGATGAACACTATTAACAGCAATTATTATATGATGCAATCAAACTTATAGCGAAATTTGGTAGTTCTGAATGTTGTTTCAGAGTTGGCATCATTCATTTCAATAAAATGAGTTTCAATTCATTTTAATTGTAGATCTTTTTTCTGTGGAATACAAAACTCTTAGTTTCATACATGAATGTCAATTGGGTCCAAAATAACATTGCGCCCCATAGAGTGCAACAGTTGCGGAAGTAAAAAATCCCATTCAATTTTTTCTATATAGGGGGAATTGATAAACCTCTAAGATGTACCGTGAGCTATGAGGTTGTTAATGGATATGGGTTGTTGAAAATGTTTTTATAGGCTATATATACAATCAACCTCGTTAAATCATTAGTTTTATATTTATCCATCATCATTGTCATTCTAAATGATTGTAGTTCTTTCCCTCGTTAAAGCTGTTAAAGTGATAAAGCCCCATTCACACCAAGAACTATAATTATAAAGCCCTAAACACACTGCACAATTTTCAGCTGTCCCAGATGAAAGATTGGCATCGTGAAACAATCGTGGCGATTTCTGTGATCATGGCTCCTAATCAGTGGTCCTGTGTGTGTCGTACAGTGAGAGAGGTTCAAAGATGGCCGTTGTCATGGTCTTGCGGCCAAAGATAGCATACGATACAGCATGATCATCGCACAGTGTGTTTGCTGGTACCAAGGGAGATTGTAGGATTTTCATTTTAGGGGGACTCAGTGTTAATGAGGGAAAAAAATTAACTTAAATGATTTTAGCAAATGGCTGCAATATAACAAAGAGTGAAAAATTTAAGGGGGTCTGAATACTTTCCGTACCCACTGTATATATAATAAAAAATGTTTGACTAATAGGGGTGGTATACTAAACTTATATACCAAAAAGTGCAGTATTCCACTGTATTGCATATAGGTTTTAAAAATAAATGATAAAAAATGACAAAAACACAACAAAATTATGAAAACCTAAATGAAAATGGAAAATATATTTAAAAAAAAAAAATATATATATATATATAAAGCAGAGCAGGAGCAGCTATGAAATGTGCAACAGCAATATACTACTACTAATGTTTTTTATAATACTGTGCATATTTAAAGATTTTAGATGATGGCATCAGGAGCATATGTGAGTGAGTGAATGAGATGAAACATAATTGAGAGATGACATAAGGGTTGCCGTTGGTGATATGTCCAGAAACATGCGCACGTCCATGGTGCGATCTATTGAAATGGCTTCTCAATATGTACATTATCAGCAGATCAGGTGTGTGTGAGAAAAGAGCTGATAGCCAATGATTTCCTCAGCACATCGCGAAAAGCGCTTAAAGGGATATTTCACCCCAAAATGAAAATTTGATGTTTATCTGCTTACCCCCTGGGCATCCAAGATGTAGGTGACTTTGTTTCTTCAGTAGAACACATTTTATGATTTTTTATAAATTGCTGTTAAATTAAACAAGTTTCATGATTTTAATTAATTAGACATGTTTTTTGTTAAAATTTTATATAATCATCCAGAAAAATTAAAACGGAAAAAAAAAAAAACTGAACCCAGAAATTAAAAATAATAAAAATAAATGTATATTTTAAAGTTTAGAATTAGACAGCCTTTCATTGTGTAGACAATTGCATAGTGAAAATTACCCCAACGCACCGCCTAGGATCCAACCTTCTCTAATACTATTATAACCTGTTTAAATGTGAACAAAGGATTTACAACATTAAAGAAATCCTTTATTTATAACATGTACATGAAAAATCTAAAAGATTAGACACATCTATGGTCGGCAGCAGCGAGCAACAGTGAAAGGATCCTCAAGGCTGTAAATGTGTGAAATTGTATAGGGCCCCATTCCTGTATTTTGCCTGGGGCCCCCCAAATCACTAAATCCGCTCCTGGCCATCGTACCTACAATGACTGTGCACTGTGTAACCAATGAGTGACGTATGCGCGCGAGAGATCACTTCCGGCGCTTGCGTAAACTACGCTAGAGTGCGTACACACCTCACGCACCGGATGCCTGCGCGCTAAAGGCAGTTGGACATAGTGGTGTATTAGAGGTAAAAAATGATATACATACTGTTCGGTTTCTCGCACAAACCGATCGTTTCGTGTCTTAGGACATCAATGTGTGATCACGAGCCGCAGGGTGCGCTTGCGTAAACTACGCTAGAGTGCGTACACACCTCACGCACCGGATGCCTGCGCGCTAAAGGCAGTTGGACATAGTGGTGTATTAGAGGTAAAAAATGATATACATACTGTTCGGTTTCTCGCACAAACCGATCGTTTCGTGTCTTAGGACATCAATGTGTCATCACGAGCCGCAGGGTTTAATTTGGATTTGTCTGTGCATGTTTTTTTTACTCTCATAGATTTTGTTACCATGGCATTATACGACTGATAGACTGCAACGGCTGGACTTAAAAATCTTAATTTGTGTTCTACTGAAGAAACAAAGTCACCTACATCTTGGATGCCCTGGGGGTAAGCAGATAAACATCAAATTTTAATTTTGGGATGAACTATCCCTTTAAAGTTTTCACATGTGATAATGCACATCCGCACCGAAACAGACACTGAGAATGATTTAATCAGTTAAGTGCCAACATTTAGAATAATTTCTTAAATTGATCTCTTAATTAGAGCTTTGTAGTCTCACCAATAAATCACC